AACAATGGAAGGAAAAAAGCAAAAAAACCATCTTAATCCTTTATCTTCAAAGATACTATTATTTTACACACAAAAGTCTTAATATTTTCACATCACAGGAAGGTTAATGTTGGTAAATTCTTCATTACAGACTGCTGCAGAGAAGCTTTGGAGAAGCACAGACTGCTATATTGAGGAAAGGAAGCAAATGAGTTTCATGAAAATGAAAGAAGTTCTGCACCTTTTTGTCTGGATTGAATGCTTTTTATAAGCAAACAAATGACAACAATAAAAAATGCAACTTAGTCTCTCCTCATATTCAAAAGAATTGTCAACAGGGCAACATTAGTTCTTCATATACGAGGATGTATAAAATTATTTACCCTTTAATGCAATATTGGATGCATTATCTGAGACTGCAAAGTCTTGATTTCATCTAACAAGGTTTTTCTTTTATGGACCGAATAAAAGAATTCAAATTCTTATAGAATCGAAAATAAGCAAAGATCTCAATGACAGTATGTGGCAAAACCCTAAACTGAAGTTTATTTTTCAAAATTACAAACTGAATCAATATTAACATGTACTATCAAGGTCTCTTACAAAACAAAATGATTGCCCTACAATTGCAATGCTTTCCAGCAGTCTTTGCAGTTTTAAATTATAATCTATTGTTAAGCTGCTGTGAATAACAAGTTTTGGCACGACATACTGGCTGTAAAAGGCAGTCAGTAATGTATCTACTTTCTTGAGTTTCACAAATTGTTTCAAAGACAATCAAAAAATCATCAATATGAAGAAAAAATAAATGTTATTACACTGTGGCTTGTTAAAATCAGGATATTTACATAGGACACTTGACCAGTATCCTGTTTATCCTAGGTCTTATGTTTGTATAGATTTCTTGCTCACATTCACACTAATACAGCTCCATAGCCAGAACAACTGCAGACACAGAAGTACAAGCAAGGTTCCCATGCTCACTAACACTTTTAATTTATTTGTTTCACTGCACTCAAATAATGTGTGTCTGCAGAAAGAAATTTAATAGCTGTTCATGTCCATGGAATTACACTGATTTTAGGAATGCAGATCAACCCTCAAAACAGAGAAAGAATGGAAAGAAAAATACTGAGCTGGCTTAGAGAATCTAAAAGAAGGATATGTTCATTTTTTAAAAAACAGAAGTATAATCATTCTTTATCAGCAATCCAAGCCTAAATGAACAAACGAAACCTCTTTAGAGATGTCTTTCCAAAAGAGTGCAGGTACACTGCATAGTTCTCCAGTAGAATGGCCAAGCTGTCTCTCTATATATCATATATTTACATAAATGTGTATATATGTATATAAACATGTACATATGATCTTCAGTGCTCATGCCCTGTAGTAGGGAAAAAAGCTACTTTTTATAGTTTGACTGACATGTGCATTCTGTCTTATCCCAGGAGCCAGAAAAGCATCTTGAGCAGTAAAAACTGATAAACACGTGGCAGGCAGCCAGAAGTTCCACTGACACTGAGCATGGGAACTTGTAGAAGATACAAATATTTGAAGGTGCCTGTTACACAGTGCTGGGTTGGAAACCTAAGCGATTCTCAGAGAATGTATGCAATTACCATCGTAATATATGCTCCATTTAAGAATGATCTAAGCACATTTTTAGCTTAATATTAAAGTTAGTGAAATTTATTCCACATTTGGTGGATTCCCAAGAATGGAGCAATTTTAAGCATGTTTTCATATTTTATACGATAATTCACATAAAATGTGTGCTTACAAATGAAAGAAGCAACATAAAAGTACCATAATCCAAATTTTCACATGTAGTAAATGAATAATAGCTGTTTCCTTCATTGTGCTCTTTTCTCTTGAGAACGTTTTAGTTCAACTGTCATATTTATTTTTGTTAATTCAAGCAATATAGCTTGCGTTCCCCTTAATTGTTTCTGCTTTAAAAATACAGTCATTTCTTGGCAAGCTAATGCTTTTAAAGAGAAGAGGCCTGTTTACAAGTCATTTTAGCTTTCACCCAATTGATCTGTTCATGTGCCTTTAATTTCTCTCCACACTATCAACAACAAAAACAAAAATTAAAAAAAGGAGCTTTGACTGAAACAAAAGTGAAGCCACAAACACTCATGAACTCAGCTAATAAAGAAGTTAGAATGCTATTTGTTATATTTCAGTGTTATAAAACAGAACAGTAAGTCTAAGGGTAAACATACAGCAATCAGCTGCAAATCTATTTAAGCAAAACAAAACACAAGCTGGCAGATGTTGCCTTAATGACTGAAAAACTTGCTTTGGCTGAACTATTGGCAACAGGCAAAGAGCAATACTGCTGCAGCTTGCCTGCCTGTTGTTTTACTGAGCTGGTACATGGGAAGGACGGTCTACATTTTTCACACCAGCACTCAATTTTGATATTAATGGCTAAGTAGAGGTAAACCACATGAAAACAGTGTCATACACATTGATTCTTTTCTTTTCAAAAGAAAACATGCACAAAATAATTAGGTCATTTGAATTAAGGATACAAGGGGATGAAACAAAACTCAGCACATGAATAAGCACTGATAAATTTATTTCTAAAAACATCGGAGACAAGGCCAAGACTATTTGGAATATATTTCTACATCACTACCAGGTCACTGAATGACCAGAACATTTACCTACTTGAGGTCTAGGTGAAAGTAGCACTCAGTGATATATCTGAAATTGTTGGATAATCAGCTAAATGGAGAGCTAGCTTTTCTTGTAGCCTGTGATAAATGGTTCAAGTCTCCTTCTTCTATTCAGAGCAAATATTACCTTATAGATTAAAAAAAAAAAAAAAAAAAAAAAAAAAAAACAACCCAAAAACATCACGACAATCTGTTGAGAACTGAAGTGAAAGGTAAGAAAAACAAACCAAAATAGGACAAAGTACAAAATACAACTATTAAATTGGCACTTAAGTCATCTGAAGACCCACAGAGTCCATCTTCTCTTTCACAGAGTTGCTTAACAAGACTTCCTGAGGATGTTTTTTCAAGAACTCACTCAGGAGCTTCTCAATGACCAAAAAGATTGGGTACCGCTTGGAAAAAAAGTGATAAATCCACTGGTTCAGAAGTGCTCCTAAGTTCAAGCCTTCTGCTAACTTCAGTTCAGTCCATGTTTAACAGCTCTTCATGAAAGACAAACATGACACAGCCCTCAGAAAAGCTTATCAACTAATGTTTGCAGCCTACATTTGTCAAGTTCCCAAATCCTGGGAAATCTTGGGAACATTATATACAAAACACTTAATAGTAACCAAAACTTACAAAATCCTAGTTTTACAGTTACATCTACAAGCTTAATCCTATTCTCTTGTACTTAATAAGAAATGCCAACTCAGTTATCTAAGCAGCTCTTTTTTAAGCCATGAAATGTTTACTCCAGTAATTCATCAAACACACAAGCTGTGAACAACTCTGGGTTTTGTAAAAACTTGCAAGGAGTCTCTTGAAGGATTTGTAATCTCTGATAGCCTATAGTACTCAGCTGATTGTGTGTGACAGTGGCAATCAGCACATTAAAGCAGCATAAGACAGACTTGCATCTGTGCTTGAACCATCAACAGACTTACAGATGCCTTCCTAGCTATAATTGCTACCTGAGCAACCATTGCAACCACAGCTAGAGCTAGCCTTGAGAGCTACAAAGCTATCTCACCAATCTGCAGCAGTAGTTCTACACACAGGCAAATACAATTCCTTTCAGTTCTGACATCTAACCATTCTGACCAAATCATTTACCTACTCACAGGGTAAAGTTTTGAGCATGACATATCCAGCCCTTCTCATGTAAGAAACCATCGAGCCAGTTTCTTAGGCTGCAGATAATTTTGTTATTAATATTGTTTTTTAAATATAGCTACTACCAATAAGGCTAAAATGGCTACTGCCATTTAGCCATACAAGCTGTATAATATATAAATTGTACAATTACAACATACATAAATACAAGCAAAATACAAGCACACTAAATGCTTACACTAATTTCTCAGTTTAGGTTTTTTTGTTTTTTTTTTTAAAGGAAGCAGTTTTCTTCTAGTAAACATCAGCATTATCTGTTTCTCATTTAAACAGATTTTTAAATCAGTTGCAAGCCTGCTTCAGAATAAATGTTTTTAGTCATCAATGATTTAAGTAACTTCCGTAATGCAAGATCATCTGAACTTATTGTATATTTAACGAAACAACTTTTCTGGCTTTGCCAATAAACTTTAATTAAAGCATCTTAAAAACTAACACAGTTTTTGTTTCAGTTATAAGCTATAAAACTTAATCCAAGATACTAAACTGATCAAAACAACTTTAATTTTTGTGTATCTTATCCAGTGTACAATTACGTAACCCCCTTTTACTACTACAAAGGAAGTCATTTTTATCTGAGGAGCACCCTGATTTTATAGATGGAATATTGGATGATCCATGATTTGGTGACAAGCTCCAAAAATTGCTTTTTGTAAGGGATTGCTATCTACACGAAACACTGCAAGACTATGAAATGTAATCAAGAATGTGATCAAGGATCTAATAAAAACTTCCTTGACTACAGATTTGCTTCAAAGCTGCAGGACAACATTTCTACTTTGAGCCCACTTCAATAGGATATGCTGTAATTTTCAGACTCAGTTTATGACTCCAACAATATTGCTGTTGTAACTGTGATGCAAAGATAGTACACTGAAATATGATACACTTCATTTTAAATGGTTAAAATATATAACCCATCAACTGAAGTTACCTGGCAACTGCTCATAGAAGAGGAGAATTGTAAGAAGGCAAATGTTATGTGAGACAATTAACTGGCATTCCAAAGACACACATCTACAAAATATGACAGAAGAAGTGTCATCATTCTTTACCTTTTTAACTGCATCCATATTATTCTCAAAACTTTTATCACCTATAATCTCCAACTAAAAGCAGGACAATGAATGTTCGTGAATTTTAACAACACACCTATTGACAGAATGTATTTCCTACCTCTTACAGATTGTAGCCCATGTTGCATTAATGTTATCTGTCATCAGTTCTACTTTTCTGGTGTCATCTGCTGAATAATCGCGGAGCAGCTTAAGTGCCACGTCATTCACCACTTCTATATTCATTTGCCACTGTCGTATTTCTTTTGAAAATTGCTGGGGAAAAAAAAAAAATAAATAAACCTCAGATTACTTTAAAAGAATTACACACATACTATGATCATTACAATAGGAAGTGGGTAAGTTGCACCACCAATATAAAAAATAAAACAAGGACTTCCTCAGGACTGACAGCTAAGGTTAGATTCTTTTTCTTTTATTTATTATTATTATTATTATTTAGGTCTAAGACTGCAGGACTACTGCTAATCTCTGAAGGGATTAAGCATCAGAAATACTGTATGTCAAATAAAACATGGCAGCTCATATTGATAAATGTTAGCAGGCTGATTGTTCTTTATTTGGACCTTAATATATGAATGCATTATTAATTCTTCTACTTGTGATACTGAAGAACACAGAGATAGAAAATATAATGAAATAATATGCTCCATCAAATTTTCTTCTTTGCAGTGTGAAATAATACTAAAGGTTTAATAAATAATGCCAATGCGTTCACATTTATTTCTTTTTAATGTATTATCTTAGTGCATTGTTTATGTAATTAGTGCCATCTACTGGAACAACACAAAATCTGCAGTAAAGCAAAATTCTACTGGAAAGCCCAACAGTATCTTCAGAATGCTAATTTATGATTTTTATTATTGAAAAAGCTTTTTAGATTTTAAGCATTCCTTCTTTTCTTTCTCTCTTCCCTCCCCTGTTCATCTTCTCCTTTCTGCCCTGGTTCCTTCACCTGGGCCAGCTACCTCACTGCAGCAGCAAGCCAGGAAATCTGGAATACACTTTGAGGTAGAAACCAGATTTTGTGTAGTTTTACTGTTAGCCTTCTACCTCAGAGAAAATTTACATATAAATGCACTGAAGCCAGGTATTCCATCCATAATGTGCAACAACAAAATGAAAGAGAAAAGAGAATCAATGTTCTACTTGTACTTTTGTACTAGGCAAAAACTACAACTAAGCAATCAATGGGACAGTGCAAATGAAAGGAGATGGCTGAATTTGCCAATAGAAGCACTAAGTTTCATGTAAACACTAGAGGCTATCTATCCCCAAAACCGCAAACAATAACACTTGACTCTCTTTATCAGTGGGCCTTAATAATCAAAGTTAGGAAATCTTTACAAAGAACAACTGTTATTCTCATTTCATGTACAAAGCTGTACTCATAAAATACTGTTTTGGTTCTGATAATGAATTCTCCACACAAAACTGAACATAAACATGCAGTCTTTGATTAAACAGTCCAAACACTAAATAAAAAATAGTACATTCTGAATATTTTGCATACATATTCTTTCATCTCAGAAAGTCTGTAGGTTGATTTCGTTTAAGATTGGGACTGATAATGATGTCACCTTTGAAAAGCGTATAGCAGGAGTTCTGAAAGTTTTATTCTTGTAATTTTTTTCGCCTTCAAAGCCCTTGCCTGTTAAAAGGTGCTTCATCATCTTTAGGTCCCCTCCAGAATGTGAAACTGAAAACATCTATTTCCTCTCTTTCTTGTGTTATTCCCCCCCATGTCATTTACTATGCACCAGATAACCTCAAACACCAAGACAGCAACCTGATTAGGTATTTTGAGCAACAGATTTTGTTTTTATCTATCTGACATTAGGAAGAGCCTACAGACTCTTTGAGAACCACCTGAACATGTTAAATGCAGCTAAGATAAAGCTGCTTAAATAATTTTTGTAAGTTATTCTCTCATGTAAAGTATGGAGCTGTAGTCAGGAGCACTGATAAATACATCAAAAACGACCAGCACTCCTTTGGAAAGGATAAAGGCAGAAGGTGCTTTAGAAATAGTTTTTTACCTCCTTCCCTGACAGAATTATATAAATATGCAATTGTTAATATTCATTTACACATAATAAAGTCTATTTGTAGGTCTTTTATAGCAAGTATCCATTCTATAGTTACATCTATTAATCTTTATCACTTTCACTCCACCTCACATCATATATGCACACTACTACTTCTTTCTAGCCCAAGGCATTTCATCAGTTTGACTGTTCCCTGCTTTACAAAGAAAAGTTGCCTCCGCATTTTTTCTTCTGTATTGTAGACTAATGGCCAGTAATTTTTACTTTGAAAATAAGTTTTGTCTAGTTCCATGCAATGTTTACAGCCTTACAAAACATTCCAAACCCAGTTTTATAATAAAAAATACAGAAAGATCCATTACATGGCTATTTCCAAAAGCATTGATTCTCACCATTAACTTCAACACTAATCCATTAACTTCCTGATGTTACAACACCGGATCATCACTCGGGAAAGAAATTATGGATATATAGAGCTTTGTAACACAAACATTTTGGATTTTCTACTTTACTGGAAATTGGTATGTAATTTTTCACCAACTTTGATGAGCATACACCTTGTTTCAACTCTACTCTTTGTGCACACACCTGAGAACAATGCATTGAGGTAAATGTTTTACCTGCCTGTCCTATCAGACTCTTATTAAATTCTGTCTTACATAACTGTAATGATTTTCTTTTTAATAATTGAATTCATGGCATTCTTGGATATCAAACTAAAAAAGAAAATGGGGGAAAAAAAAAAAAAGCATTAGTCCTTAGCAAATTAGCTCTGAACTAACTTCTATCTCAAAGGAATCATAGTTTTAATTAGCAGCTACACTGTCTGTAGTTCCTTTTCTTTTAAACATCAGTAATGAGTGTGTCAGATTCTATTAAAAACCATCACTGGGCAAATATAAGCTGGCTACAGATTTTACTTTCATGCTGGAATTGTAAAAAACAAATAATCAAAGGACAGGTGTTGCTGAATTTACTCATGTATAAGGTTGCACTACAGAAAAGCATTAACATGAACACTGACTTAGAGTTCACCTAGAGCAGAGGAAAACTCAATAGCAATTAATAAAATGACAGCTTTGTTTTCATCGGAACAGCAAGCCAAAACACAGCATATTTACTCTACTTATTTAGGGGACATCAAAATACATATGTTTGGCATGGAAGCCTGGAAAGCATTTATTCTGAGGACTTGATATATTTCTGGGTCCTTCAGTTTTGATACTGGCAGACAGAAGAAATATAAAGCTGTTAAATTCAAATAAGATTTCAGTTTTGCTTAGAATTCATGACCCCTTATCTTGAGCACGAACACAACAGCTGATGCTGTCACTTTTGAGAAGCTTTCATGAGGGAACTGACACAATAGGAATTACTGGCAGACAAAGATAATTCATTTATGAGGACTTGTGAAAAGAAAAAAAGGATTAAAAATGAAAAAGAAGATTCTCTAAGACAGAGGTGAATACTTTTCAGATTTGTGGGAGAAAATCAAACAAAGAACCCATGCCTGGAATAGTAGAGCCTGTGGATGTTCATATCATCATGAGGACAAAGCAAATTAAGTAAAGACTAGTCATGAGCCTGACCACCTTTAACAGCTACATTATAATTATAGTCTAATATCTGGAACTGGACACAGTGTGTAATATTGAATTCACATAAGGACGGAAACGGCATAAGGTACTGATATGCTAACTGCTGCTTCTCTTTTACAGAAGAAGTAAAAAGAATATTCACAGAATACCCTTTCAAAAACCCCGTTCATGCAGAGATACATTCTATGAATGAGTATACAAGTATATTTTCTCTACCAAGAGATGAAGAAGAAAAAACAGCATCTTTTTTTCTTTGCTTCACTAAGCTTTTAAAAAAAAATTCTATGATTTTTCATAAGGCATACACACTTAAATGAGCCTCTTCTCAATCTCATATATGCTTGTTAAGAAAAATTACACAAGAAATTAATCTCTAAAATAACATTTTCAATCATTTAATTGTGTAATTCATGTTTAAGACATAAAACACTCAAGACACATAAGACGTAAGACAGCTTGCAGAAAACAGCTGTATTTTTTTTTAATAATTGTGTCTCTGTTGAGGTTGGACATTGGCTTTTTCAAAGCTTTTTTTTTTTTCTCCTTTTCTTTTTTTCTTAAACAAAAAACTGGGCAGAGGCTTGAACTCCATCTCTGCTGAAGTTCTCTGTGCTGAATGACAGTAGTACACATAATCTCTAATTATTTCCTATACATTAGTGAGGAATTGTCATTCTTCACCATAATCCAATCATCACAAGCAATGACCTTTATGGTATAATCTTAAAGAAGAAAACCATTTCCCAGTCCAAAAGCAAAATGATGATGAAAGTTTTAATGTTTCCTACAGGCAAAGAAACAAGAAAAAATAGCTGATTTTGTATCTACTTCTAACTATCAGAAATGTAATGACTAACTGATGATTGAGATAGCTGAATACCAACCATGGAGTTACACACACAGCAGCAAAACCAGGTGATGTGGACCTCACTCCACTATACTTCACAGTGGTATAACAGCCTTAAAAGAATAAGGTGAGTAAGACTGATGAAGCCCACAAACTTTAGCCAAATGCCTGAGTGCTGGGAGTTAAAATAATAAAAACAATACCAGGTCAGAAGAGTAGAACATATCAGAAAACATTTGTGTAAGTATTCTCCCGAATAACTGAAAGGTAATGTTCCATTAACATGAAGGCAGAACCCAGGTTAAAAGGCTATTGAACTGATTGGTTTCAATCTTGTTTTTCCCCAAGCAGAAAATGAGATATTATTAATCTGAAACAGCTGTTCTCAAAATTTATTCATGAGAAATGTCACCAAAGTATGACTATTTAGTTAACAAGAAACTTTTATAGCTGATGCAATAGTTAGGGTTCATCTGAATTGCTTGAGGTATAGTTCAGCTAATTAAGTTAACTCAGGTTCACATTTTAACAAAATGTGCAATATATTTGCCAAAGACATAAAATTAGCTATTTCAGATTATTTGTAATTAATAACCTGCCAAGGTTGAATTGAGTGAGATTATCTTGTTGCAAATCAAAAACACTTGATTTTAAAATAGCTTGTTGTAGTTTTTCCTTTTCTTTCCTAATTTTAACTACTTCCAGGCAACCTATACAAATTCCCTGTCAATGCAGACAGAAATACCAATATTACAGTGTCTCTAGTCTGCAGTTCCAGGGCCTCAGATAAGGCTAGTGTACAAAACAGATGAAAAATACTTCTGCTGGTGAAGAGATTTTTTTCCTGCAATCAGCTATTTCCTATGACTTACTAGACCAATTTCATTCAAGAAGTATGTGACATACACTTGAAAATTAATTTCTTACTAAATTTTTGTTGAAAATGGGAAGGGATAAAGGACTTATCTTAGAGGTGCAGTGTTTAATATTTAGAGGACATTTGCTTTAACAATTTAAAGCAAGCAGATGCATTTTCAATCATCTATCCACATTTTGATTATTTATCTTAAATTCCTATTTCTTAATACTGACCTTAAGCTCAGTGTTCTGCTTTTTCAGAGCTTCCACAGTATAGGAAATTTCTTTCCACGACTCAAGCTTTGCTTTTGCTTGTTCAAGAACCTGTTCAGCTTCTTGTTTAGCTTCCAGCCACTGTGTTGAATCCTTTAGCATCTCATGAAGCTGTTGTATTCGGCTTTGGAGGTATCCATGCACATCATCCCACTGGCTCTGTATTTTTTCAACTGGTGAGACATAAAGAAAAAACAAAAATTGAGTAACTTAAAAGCCTTTCCTTTTTTCTTTCAAAATGGAGTAAATGTTTCTAGAAGTTACCATATTGAAGAGCTCTTGTACTTTTCAGCTGTAACTGCAACTAAGTTCAGTTTAAAAAGAAGTGCAGATAAACTCTTGTAGGCCATACTGAATGATTGCATGATGAATATTCTGTGTTTTGACACATGAAGACAAAAATGCCTGGCTCATGACTCGAACAGCATTAAGAAACACAATCACGTTTGAGAAGTAAGAACTGCAATCATCTTTAATTCTTACCAAACAAACTCAAGGCTTAATAATTTTGAAGAGCAAGTCCTTTAGGGACTCCAGTAATTTTGTTTAAAAGATTTGTCGCAAGATATAATTAATGGTTACATTTTCCTAATGCACTAAGGCAAACGTTAGAAGAGTGCAAGGGCTGTCTAAAACACTATTTTAAGGAAATGTGATTGTGGTGAACACAATAATCACTAGTAGCATAGTAAATCTGCTACGTAAAGCATGAGACCTAGTCTTCCAACAAGACAAAATATGACCAAAAAAAAAAAAAAAAAAGCACAAACACTTTAACACTTTGTTCTACAAGAAGAAAAGAAGAAATAGTTTCTTTTTAAAAACTACATAAATTTCCTGAGTTGAGACAGCATGAACTACTTTTCTTTAAGACTAATTCACTACACTAAAAATTCATAGATCTTTTAGGGAAGGGAACAGAGATTCCTAGAATACTTGAAAGCAAATGAAATTATTAAACCAACACAGCATCATAGATCCAACAATGCATCTCACATTGCACAGCTGATTCCAGAGCGGTGGAAGCTAAAGACTAAAGGGATGAGAAATGCATCAGCAGGGAAAACAGACCTCCACCTATTGGTGCTGTTCATTTCTTCTGGAAGAAGAGATAAAGATCTCTGCAGGGACTCAGCTCATGTTCAGGGAACAGGAAGAGAAATGATCAGTATCCCCTACTCAAGCCTGGGGAAAAAGTCTGTGAGTAAGCACATGTGGCAGCATGATCAGGTCAAAGGAAATGCAAAACAATAGCACATCTTCGTATCCACATTTCTTCCTCTTCATTTATTAAATTAATTTTGGAAACAGCACAATACCATAATTGTAAGAGTCAGTATTCAAAACTGTCTCAAGGATTCTTAATTATTCAGTATAGCATTTCTTTACCAAACAATCTGCAAAGGGACAATCTGAAAAAGACAGCATTTTTTCAGGCTTAAGGAAGAAATTTAAGTTTCTTTTATCAATCTATGTTGCCATTATTTGAATTTATGAACAAAATATATTTCACAACTAACAAATTGAGTATCAAAATGAAAAAAAAGTGCAACAAGCAGAAATATATGCCATTATTTAAAATGACTACAAAATTCAATACTCCCATTAGTCTTTTATATTTAATAAATGAATAGTATAGCTATTTTTATAGCTGCCAACATTAGTACACTCAGTAGAACACGCAGTAGTACTCACAGTATGCTTATATAAGTCTGACAAACATCTTGCTAATAAACTGTCAAGATAATATGTTATACAAATTAAATCTTGGGGGACCTTTTCCACATCGGGTTATTTCTAAACCATACTTTTCCTAAACAACACAGTGCTCCAGCTGAAGTCCTCATTTAACTTGATTCACAAAAGTTTTGCACTTGCTTACAAGAAAAGTGTCCCAGCATGGCTCACTCTAGCTGCTCCCAGTTCAACACTAAAGTCCCACAGATGAATAAGTAATTTCAAGGCAGTTATTTTTTTCATCAGTTAACAGTACTGATAACTAGCTGTTCAACAGTGACTACATCACTAATGTGGGCAAAAGACATTTTGCTGAACTGTCAACGATCTTAGTAAGCCATTAGAAGAAAAAAAAAAAAAGGGGGAGGGGAGCATTTAAAGCAACCATTTCACAATCTGGTTATCACTGATTTAGGATATAGAGGAAAAAAAAAGATCTTGGGGAAGGAGGCTTCAATTTTTAAGATTCAATTTTGTATTTTTTACAAAATTTTGTTACACTTTTTTTTAGTAAAATAGATATAGCAGAGAAACAACAAACAAAAATAAATTGCGCTTTCTCTATTAAAAGTTCCTAGTATTGATAAGACAAATATAAATCTGTTCCCTGAGAGTTCACTATGTTGTTTTCAATACAACAGCAAAAGAAACAACAGAAAAGGAACGTGAGAAGAAGTCAATCACAGGATAAATAACATTCACATTACAGTACATTACATTGAGCCTACGCAAAGATGAATAAAGGAAATCTTTCCAAACCAGTTAGACAAGTAAATTAAATCCAGAATGGACTCCAATAAAGGGAACAGTTAAAAAGAATTTGCAAGTAGAAAACTTTTGTTTTCCTTGGCAAACACATAATTCTAAACTGCACTCATTTTGATCTGTAGGAGCGTGCTTTTCAAAAACATTGGTTTTTTTTCATTATATCTTCATGAATTTAAAGGTTGGCAGGAGTAATATGGTTATGCAATCTGACCTCCTGCAGAATGCAATCATAGGGTAGTAGAATCATGGACAGTTATAATTCATGCTACCAAAATAAACTACTGACGCACTTCAGCTGAAAAATGAAAATCTTTTCATATGCATCTGTGAGTGTTTCAATTTACTTATACCTTGCAACAGTGATCATGATGAAGACACACTCAGCTTGAAATCTAGCCAATTCTGGAAAATGATTTTTGAATAGTTCTATATTTTTTTTTATATTTCCTGAATTTTATTGTTTTTCCCACTCTCCTTTGTAGGAATAGGAAAGAATCCATGAACTGAAAGAAAAAGGAGTATCTGAGGTCTTCATTCTGAGGGGACTGAGTAGCCTTATATAGAATGGGATGTAACTGCTGAACAGAATGAAAATGAGAGGAAGAAAGAAGTTTACATTCTTTACCAACTGTAATAATTTTGGTTGTCAGTGTAAGTATAGCAGGTTAGAAAAGCGGAAGTGGTGGATGCAGTCATGCAGCATCAACAAAATGTTGCTACAGAACTGCTTGAAGCCCTGTGTTATCTACACAGTTATATGACCACAAGCACAACATGTTACATGACGGTGCATGGACGAAGCAGCACCAGAAGAGAGCAAGACATGGTATAAGGAGCTAAACTTGAAACTATAACATTAGAAAGTGTCAAAAACATTTAAAAGAAAAAAAAAAAAAATCCCAACCTGTAGGTGCTTGGGCAGTACATGCTAAGAACTGCCCACACCCAAACTGATATTGCTTATCCTGGAAATATACTACTTCAAAGTCATCTGTACAAGCAATTTTTAAATGATATGCTATCCAAAAAATCACTTATACATCTTCCCAGAGTTTATGTCCTTTCCAAAGTGGCTTTCAAAGACAAATACACATTTTAAGCATCTTCTCTGTATCTAAAATAATCCACCAGGTTGGATTTATTTCTACTTGAGTTGCAGCCCCAGAATACACTTTTCTTTGAATTTCCAGATACTGAATTTCATCTTATTTCATATGGTTTGAATAGATCTACCCTTTTTTTTTTTCACTTAAAGACTCTTTTTTTTCACTAAAGACTATTTGAAATTTTCGCAGATGTAAAAACCAGCCTTTTTCCAATCTTAAAAATTATGTTTGTGTTCTTAGAATTGTAGAATGATCTAGGTTGCAAAAGACATTCAAGATAAAGCACAATCATCAATCTGACATTCAGGACAAAGTTCAACCATCAACTATCGAGTACTATCATTAAACTATGTAACTTAGTCTCATTTCTCTTAAATGAGAATGGGGACTCCATTATTTCCCTGGGCAGCCAGTTCCAGTGCTTAAACACAATCCCTGTAAAGAAATTCTTCAAAATTTCCAAGTTAAACCTCCCATGGCATAACTTGAGGCCACTTCCTTGCATCCTATCACTTGTCACCTGAAAAAAGAGATCAAAACCTTCCTCTCCGCAATCTTTTTTTCAGGCGAATGTAGAGCACAATGAGGTCTGCCCTCACTCTCCTCTCTTCCAGATTAAAAAAATCCAGTTCCCTCAGCCACTCGTCGCAACTCCTGTTTTCTAGTCGCTTGAACTTCCTTTGTCACCCTTCTCTGAACACACTTAAACAGTTTGATGTCCTTGTAATAAGCAGCCCAAAACTGAACACAGGGTTTGAGGTGTGGTCTCACTACTGCTGTTTACCAGAAGACAATTCTATCCCCAGTCCTGCTGGCTATGCTATTTCTTATACAGACCAGGATGTCGTTGGCCTTCTTGACTACCTGAGCATACTTGGCTGTCAACGAATGCTCCCAAATCCTTTTTGGGAGCATTCCAGTCTCTCTGCCTCAAAACTATGTCACTGCATGGGATTGTTATGATCCAGCTGTAGCAATGGGCATTTAGCTTGTTGAAAGCCATGTAAATGGATTCATCCCAATGACCCACTTTATCCACATCCCCCTGCAGAACTTTCAAGCAGAATAGCAATTCTGCCTAACTTGGTATTGCCTGCAAAATTACTGGATGATCCAGATCACTGACAAAAATGTTGAACAAAACTGCCCAAGTACTGAGCCATGGGGATTTCCACTTTTCAAACATGATTTAAGGTTTTTCTTAACTTTTTATTTTAAGTAAATAAACTATCATTCCTTTTTATTGAGAAGCATTGAAAGATCTCCATTTGTCAATAATTTCTTGTTTGAAAGCACTCTACCTACTCTTCTGCTGCCTTCCAGAACATCAGATGCCTGATCTGAGTTGTCGTCCTCAAGGAGATACTACTTTAATAAAGTTTATCATACAATATCCCTACACGAAACAATGTTGGCTCTGTTCTTATGAACAATTGTGACCCTTTGAGTGACTGGCCTAATGAGAGTATTTTGATGGTAGATGCAGAGTCCAGGATAATTTCTTTTTTAAATGCTGAAGTACTGGAGGAGTCACAGAAACAGTTCTAACACCTACCAACTTG